GGGAGTGGCACTATTAGGAGGTGTGGCACTGTTGGAGTGGGTGTGGCCTTGTTGGAGTGGGTGTGTCACTGTGGGTGTCAGCTTTAAGACCCTCATCTTAGATGTCTGGTAGCCAGTCTTCTGTTTGCCATACGAAGAAGATATAGAACTCTCAGCTATGCCTCCCTGGGAGCTGCCATGCTCCCACCTTAATGATAAGGTACTCAACCTCTGAACTTGTAAGCCAGCCCCAATTACATGTTGTCTCTATAAGAATTACTTTGGTCATGATGTCTGTTCAGAGCAGTAAAACCCCAAGACAAACACACACACACACACACACACACACACACACACACACACACACACCAGTGCTTAAGAGAAGCACTAAGTGCTTTGGGAGCACAGAACAAGGAACTGGAGCATATTTAAGACATAAGCATCATGGAAAGCCTCCTAGAAGAGGTGATACTTGAATTTTTTTGAATTTTTCTGAAGAATGCTGGACAATCTGAGGGAAGAACTTGGAACAGTGAAACAGCAAACTCAAAAGCCAACCCCCCCCGCCCACATACATTTTTGGTAGTAGGTTTTATTAATTGTAAGGAAATTTGTGCTTCATGTGATGAACTGAAGGAAATCAGATCAAGGTGAAAATGTAAAATATGTAAAATAGAAGTAGTTAAGCTCAGAAAGGTAGAAACTAGATCACACAAAACTTTGGAACAGTTAGAATTTTTTTTTCCCAAAAAATGTCTGTACTGGAAACTACCAGAAACTTATTTTCGAAGGGAAATAGCGTAATAGAATTTATGCGCATATGCTAGGGAGCTAGTTTGGGGCAGATGCAGCAGAAAGGAAGCACAGAGAACAGGTGGGAGGCCGGGCAGTGATAGTGGAGGGATGAATTTAGATGGTGGCGACAGGAAGAAAATGCTGCTCACCAAGTCTCTTCTCCCTCCAACTACTATCCCATTCCCAGACTTGCTCTCTGCTCCTGTCAAGAAAACAGCAAGAGCTGCTGGAGCACCTGTGATCATAGATCTTGGGGTACCTTGGTGGCCCCTGCTTCTTGCAATCCAAGGCTGTTAGGCATGACTCCAAAGGAGGTCTTTTTCTCCAGTGAGTGAGTCTGAAGAATGATGAGCCACTCACTAATCTGCCTCTGTTCCTGCTTTCAGAGGAGGGGACCTGGCAGGGGGTTGCTCTGGTGAGCTCCTCCTGCCTCTATTAACTGCAGCCTCAGCCCTGGGAGAAAAGCTAGGGGATTACTCCTCCTGGGGCTCCCTGTCCCCCCTATTCCCCAAAACAGCTGAAGGAAAGGCTCGAACTTTCTTTTACAAGAGATGCATTTTAGTGTTCACGATGGGAAAGGCATATGTTTTAAACTCTCCTTTTCTTCTGATAACAGAAATACAATCCTACTAGAGAAAATCTGAGAGTATAAAGAAGACTTGCCAGTATTTATTCTACTACCGTTTTTGCATGTTTCCTGAATACTTATTTTTAAATAGTCAAGGACATACTTGCTAAATAAGAGTTCTGGCATATTGTTCTCTTTACTTGGTATTGAGATGGTTCAGTATGTTATTTAAATTACTCCATAAGTGATTGTGATAATTACACAGCAGCCATTTTTTAAAAAAAAAATCATATTTACTCTTTCCTGTTTTCTGGATACTTGAGGTGGTTATAACATATAAACAGTATAAGAGCAGCTATGACAGACAAGGTTGCTTATCATTCTTTGCCTGCACTTTGAATACCCAGCCCCACCTCTGTGGACTTCTAGGAGCAGAATTAATAAGGAAAATGATGTAGTCACAGGACAGGAAAGCAAATCTCTAGCAGGATAATTCCCATCAAAAATAGCTGTGGTCCTGGCAGGGAAACTAAAAGACATTGGAATCCTGTCTTTTGTGTCTGTAAGGATGTTTTCCTAGCTAGTACTTGCCATGGCTCAAGCAGAGCCTACTAACTGTCTCCATGTTAAGAATTACCTCTTTTCTCCAGAGGTTTTGCTGGATTTTGGCTGCAGAGGCAGCTGGGGCTGAGCTGAGTGGTCCTTGGCTTCTGTCTTCCTTTTGTGGCAGGCAGAGAATCCTTCCCAGGGGTCTGAGAATCTGGTTCCACTAGGCTGTGTTTGGAACTAGCTAGGCAACCTTGAACACTGTCTTTTCCCCTTTTGGTGACAAAACCTGCCAGAGAAGGCTGAAGGGATTGGAGTCTGGGCACATGTTGATTTTGTTGCTTTGAATTGTTTTGAATTAAGCCTTATCAGAAACTCAACTCTATAAAACCAGATTAAGGACCAGTCACTGGTAGACAGAGCAGTGTGGAGGACAGATTCTGGTGTGAACGCTCTGAGATAGAGAATGGAAGCTTCATGCCAGTTCAGTATAGTTCTCTTCCCTATTGCTGAAGTTTAAAAACATTATCTTTCATCTGTATTTAAATCCTCCAAATGTGCTGATTGATGAAATCTTTTCTCTTCTTAAAGGCAATTTGGAAACCAGACAAAGTGGAACACAAAGCCATGGATATTTAGCGAGAGAGAGTGCAGCATGTGCGACAAGCTGAAAGGGTGACCCTGGCACTTCTAAGAAGGCAGCAGCACAATAAGCTCTTCCAAAGAAGCCGGTCAGAGTTTATTCCCCCTCTGCCACCGCCCCCTCAGTGGGGGGCATTGCTTGTTTGTACCCCACCCTTTCCTGGAGTCATTTCAGAGCAAAATATAGAATAGCCTTAGGCAGATGTTTTAAGGCCAAAGACGGAAAAATTGGAATATGGTGGTAGATATGACAAGTTTCCTACTGGGACTTTTGGGTCGGGGGGAAGAGGCTCGCCCACCAGGCAGCCTTTCGCTTTGCTCCAATCACTGAAGTAAAAGCTGGAAGCTCCCATCGGTCAAGAGGGGATTGAGGTCTATAGCTTTAGGATGAGGAGAGGAGGGAAGAGGCCCAGTCTGAACACAGCAGGCCCAGGAAGAGCCCTGCGAGGAGGGCGATGAGGCTGCATCTGTAAATCAACGCTGGCCACCTCCCACCCCATGCTGGACAGTGGGGGATGGGGTGTGTGGGGGGGGGGGGGGGGCATGGCTGTGCAAACGTCTTCCCAGGGAGACCCGACCTTTCTTGGAGAGGCGGGGTGGCTTTAGTCTCCAGGATCTGCAGTGATGTGTAAAAAGCGGGCACGACCCCCGAAGCCTCAGAAACCCCCGCCCCTCCCCCTGGGGCCCGCCCAGACCCGCAGGTGAATGGCTGGTCTACACAAAGGAAGCCGGCTGGAAACGTGGAATTCGGACCAATTTACAGAGGACTGTCGCCTAGAGTCCCAACAGACCTCAAGCAAAGAAACCTGTGGTCAGGAGTGGATGAGGATAAAAACAGTGCACCAGGCCAAGCTTATTGGAAAAGCTGAGTTTAGTTATTCTGGGATAGCGAGGTAACAGGATTAAAGGGATTAAGGAAATCACCTCAAACAGCTGAGGAGGGGGTTAAAAACACGGGTTCTATTTGTTTCCTTCCTAGGCTCCAAACAGATACGCTGGGGCTCCTTGCGAAACGAAGGACCCTTAAGGGTATACAATGGAATGGTCAGAGGTTGGGATGGAGGGAAGTAGGAAAGGGGGAGTAAAAAACAAGTTCTGGGCTCGACGTGAGAGGGAGCTGCTTTGACAAGTTAAGAGCAAGCCTTCTAGAACTTTTACTCATCTACGGGATAACTTTTAAAATCAAATCTTCCAGTGTTGACCTCTGGAAGTCCACTCTGTCGCTTTAGCTACCACGATAGAAATACTAATTTCCTGATGTGGACGCCTGTAACCATTTATTTTAAAGAAGGGCTTTCGTTTTGTAAATATTTCAACTCAGCGAGTATCTTCCCGCCTCAGTGCACAGAGGTAAAAGTGCCCTGCTTTGGGTAAGTCATCGCAGCCGCAGGTGTCTGCCTCCCGCCCTGCATAGCTGCGGAAGCAAACACTCAATCCCGGACACTGGCCACCACAATCAACAAGTGCACGACTGAGCGCGGGCTGTGCGGCTCAGGTAGCTTGGGCTGCCTCTGGTTAGGTGCTCCCAGAAGACAGGGTTTCTCCACTTGAGACTAGTTCTCATTTGAGAGTATTGGGGGCTGTTGTAGCTTGGATCGCCAATAGTTTAAAAGAAATCATTTTACACCATGCCCGCCTCCTCAAACTCAGGTCTGCAAACTCAGTTATAAAACTAAGAGTATCCCCATTCCCAATCCGCACTTATGATTTCGGACCTGCAAAATTATCAGGACTCCAGCATGTTGGTTATAAAATTTATTGATCTCTCACTTAGCAATTAAGAGTAAAACCTTGAAAAAACCTGGAACAAAATAACCCCTTCCCCACCACCCGAACAAAATGCGTACACGAAATAGCAAATAGATCACTGCAGAAATCACAAACTCAACAGCCTAAACGCGCACTGGACAGAAGCTGTCCGGAGGCCAGGGGCGGCAAGGCGGGAAACACACGCACACCTGGGCTATAAATTAACATTGGCTTTAGCTGTCGCGCCAAGTGGCGCGGCCAGCACCCCCTCGCCCCGAAAAAAAGCCAGAGGAAAACAGAAGCAATATGACTGGGGGTGGAGGCATTGCAGTTCCTGGGGGGGGGGGTGTCAACCTCATTCAGTCCTCGATTAATAGCAAACTAACAAGACAACATTTTCAAATGCGACAGAAGAACCTAGGAACCCGGGAAGAGGAGGACGGGGCCACGGTTTGTCCGCAAACACCACAGAGATTCCCAGCCAGAGGGGGAGGGAGGGGCAGCGGTCAGAAGCCGGCGGCTCTAGCAAAGTCCCATTTCCGCTGCTCGGGACTTCTTTTCGCTTTTGTACAAAACCCGACAGCTACTGCAAAACTTTCGGTCCTCCTCATCTTCGGTACAAGGCAACGGTCCCAGGCGAGCAAAGCTAAACAGCAAGGCGTCCCAACGTGGGGGTGCGGGGCGGGGTGGGGGAGAAGAGCTGGGGGCCGCGGGCGGGAGCTCAGATGTGGGTCAGCGGCACCGTTCCATTGACCGCAGTCCCGGCGCCTTGGTAGTGCTGGTGCACGCCGTGCAGCCGGCCGCCCGGGAGCGGAGAGGCGGCGTCGGCCGCGTCCCCGCCAGGTGGCAGGTACATGCTGATCATGTCGCGCAGGTCGCCGAGACAGGCGCGCTGCGAGTGCGAAGCGATGGCGGGCGGCGGCGAGCTGGGCTCCGACTTCACCACGGAGCCCATGGGGCCCAGGCTCATGGCGGCGGCGGCGGCGGCCGCGGCGGCGGCGGGCTGCTGG